ACACATCATACCCTTGGGTACTCTACTGGCTGGCCTCAAAAGCTCGAGGCGCAAGTGGCAGTCGATTTAAGCGGGCTGCTGGTCAGCATTTAAGTGTGGAAACGAATGTTGTCCGTACAGATGCTGGAAGGATTCGAGCGGCTTTTAATTTTATTCCCAGCACTGGCGTTCATTTCATTTTCCACCAAGGCCGAGTTTTAAGGGTTGAACGAACCAGATCGCAGCAAACCCTTCAGGGCGCTTCAGCTGCTCCTTTTGAAACCGTTACGTTGACCACTTTGGGCCGAGATACGAGCATCTTTAACACACTACTTGAGGAGGCTCGCTCAGCAGCTGTGATGAAGGATGAAGGCTGGACACTAATCTATAAGGTGTGGAAGCCATAATGGATTTCGGATTTTTTAATTTATCGATTTTAACTTGGTTACTTGCAAATGAATTGGTGCTTTGGTACTAAAGTACATATTTTACATTTCGGTCGATTATTTAAACAGCTAGCTGCAAATTTCCGCTTCTTAAGGTACTGACGTGGCAGTGTACATTGTTCTTTTTGTCTTACTTAGCGCTTATATTTTTCGCCTAGGGTTTCTCGGCAAACTGTTTCCAAACCTTCGTCTGTTTGTCTTCAACTACCTTACTTTGATACTATACTGTGTTATATGCTGCACTAATCTTAATTAGGCACTGCTGTGAAAATATTTATAAAATCGTCACCATTCACTGACCTATCATGCTTCTCCATTACACTACTGTAATCCAGGCCTTTGGGTCGGAATGGCGTCAATTCGGATATCCTCGTCCCCGTCGACCGCTAACTTCTGTTGTGTTGGACAAGGGGCTTGCCGAAACTATCTCTTCTGATGTCAAGGAATTTATCGGTATCATGCGAGTCTTTTTCAATAAATCTAGTATTTTCCTACATATATTGTGCAGGGTGTGCTTTTTCGAAGTCTTCTATATTTGGATACTGAGCTTTTTGAACGTAAAATAGAGGTATCTTGAATTATAAGACGAAGGAAGTTTTTTTTTCACACCCTAAACCCTTCGCTTCTATTTCTCTTTGATATGCTATTGAAAATGCCTTGTGCTATTTAGTTTTCACTTTATTCGTAACTCTGCCGCTATCTTTAAAACCTGCATGCACCTGCTGTCTCTTTATCAAAGGGTTAACTCCCGTAAACAACGCTCTTTGTATTGAACTGTCTGACCTGACGCCCTTTCCGCGCACATTCTATCCCACTTATTGCTCGCTAACCTCGTTTCCTCCATAGCTAGAAAGTCAAGCCTGGTACACTGAACGTGGCATTCCCTATCGACGTGGATACCTACTTTATGGTCCCCCAGGATGTGGCAAAAGCAGTTTCATCACAGCTTTGGCAGGTAAGTTGTGCAGTAGTCTATTATGTATATGTGATGACCAGCGTACTCCAAATATATAGTTTTCCGGTTGATCAAAGATAAGCGCAATTGTCCACGTAGTTGTACTTGTTTTAATAATCAGTCACACATTTTGGTTAAAATTCCTGGTTTTTTTCCTTGTTTTCTGTATTTTTGTAAAGACTTACCTAGTTTTATGATACTATCACCGAACTGACCAATACTTGCTGACCGGCTTGAAACTTAATTATTATTCCAGATAATGTTTCCATTACCTGCAAGTACACGTTTAACCACATTGATAGTTCAACCGTCACAGACGATTCCGTCCACCGTGTGTCCAACCGAGTGCGCAAAGTATCGCGTGAATTAGTTTATAGTTAGATACCTTCGTAGCATTTACCCCTCTATTCTTCCTTACCCATCAGTCTCAAATGTGATGTGTCCACTCCAGTCGAACCCATCTTGATTGGATAACATCCATGCATCGCCTATATCTTCGGCCGCCCGAGAATAAAATATAACTTTAAATTTTCCGCTACCATGGCTTTGGCTGATGCTGCGGTAGTACGCCGTTTTCCGTCCCCTCTTAAAGACGGGTCAAAGTGTGGCATTTTTGTTCAGTCCATTGCAGAGCCAGCACTGCAATGTCGACACGAGATCTATAAACTTAAGTAGCCATTGTGTTTTATTCGGTCACTTTGTTGTTGCGCAGCCAAAGATTAAGACCAACGGTTCCAAACACAAAAGGAGGGTCACACGAAGTGGAAAGGAATAAAATTCCTTTTCCGATTAGATCAACGAGATAATAAATTGATAGGCAGAATTGAGGACTTCAAGCTCCAGCACCAGATGCGTACAAAGTTGTTGGCAGTAACGTTCTCAATGGCATCGCAAACGGCCTCAGTGCGGAGGTTCATCGCTGGTAAATGATTTCGTAGAGGTTTCAAAGGTTGCAGACTTTTGAACTTCCTCACCTGGGGGTCG